ATGATGAATAACGTCAGTATTGCTAGCTATACGGGCCACAACTCAATACAATAATAATGGTCATATCTAAATCGTGAAATCTAAGTTGTAGATGTGAGTTAGTGCACAATCCTCTGAATAGTCGTAAATTTTAACGATTAATATTTCAGACTCGCGAGGCAGAGTAACATTGTTTTCTGCCAGATTCCTTCGTTTTATGCAAAATCACATCAAGTAAACTTAATTTCATTGATTTTTGAGATGGCAATAGCGAAATTAAATTATTATCCTTTTTTTTTGTCAAACCTTCATTTTTACACGAAAAATCAATAAAATTACGCTTATTTGATGTGTTTTTCATAAAACAAAGAAATCTGTCAGGAAAAAGCGTTAGTCTGCTCCATGAACCTGAGATATTAATCTTACGACTATTCAAGTTAGAAAAAGTCTGTTACAGCCTGGGTGCTGGTAAATATCGTGTTATGTCCAAACCCTTACTAGGTTAATGAAATAAGAGGGGAAAATGGAGAGAGTGTGAAGACTCAATTTCACAGGTATGCGCGGAAAGGCAATTATCTGTGAGTCGTACGCGCCTTTTCGATCCCGGAATGTGAGTCCCGAAAGGACGCTATGACTCCTGTTCCGAGGGACAGTGCAAACGTCGGTCCTACTTTTTGGGCCAAGGAACTTAATCCCCTGGAACTGGACCTCGTGCGATCTCAGGAATTAGAGGGATGAATGAAGTGAGGAACATAAAAAAAGGTGGAAAACTAGCGATTTTTAATTTACAATTAGCTTACATTTATTTGAATTGTGCTTACATTATGTAAAGATAAATAAAAATATCATAATTATCTAATAGATGCGTTCGCAAGATGTGTGTGTGTGTGTGTCAGGAGAGAAAGAGGATAGTGGTCCCCTGGGGGGGATTGGAGGCGAGGAAGGTGATGCACATTGGGACGAGGTACTTATATTGGACTGTATAAGGAGTCGGGTTTCCGGGAATATCCTGTCGCCAGTCTATCTCCCTCGTTGATAGGGAAGGAATAAAGACGGAAAAGCCGAGTTGATCGGCTCGAGATCCGATTAAAATGGAGGAAGCGGGCTTAGCGGCGAAGGAGCAGGAAATCGCTCCTCGAGGGGAGGAGGGGAATAATTCAGGATTTCCCTGATAGTGGAATCAAGTACGGGAGGAGAGCTTAGCTCCGATCGGTCGCTGACTGGTGAGTACGAAATATCCACATAGTCGTCGGTCAGTTTGCTTTGAAGTGATCACCCCTGCCTATTGCCTCGGACGTAAGGGGTTCACCTCTGAGACGTTTTAGCGTTACGGACGCGCACTATAACCGAAGGGTTAAAAATAATTATATATATATATATATATATATATATATATATATATATATATATAGAGAGAGAGAGAGAGAGAGAGAGAGAGA